AAGACAACAATATAGTGCGTTATGTCTTTACATACATCATTCGTCATGCGAATTGACGCTCATTAAAAATATCACAATAGGGAAAAGGACACAGCCGGTACAGATCACACGACTATATTCTGGTATCTTGTAAATGTGTCTTGTCTTACCCTAAAACATGAAAGTTTATAAAGAAACCAGACATTCCCGAGACGTTTATAATAAAATAGAACAACACAAACTAACAATGAAAAACCAAGACATTGTTGTTTTTATTGGGTATAATAATATATCCTTTACGACAGACAAAATAGCTGATCCGAAAAGTACACCATCTACTTGCCACTATACATCATGTACTGTGTTACAACCCTAGATAAAGCCGACGAGGAAAGGTATTACATCGACCACCGAAAGCTATTTTATGTGGCCTAGGTGGTCGAGTTGTCAAGGGCGCTGGACACGATGCAGGAGGTGTTGCCACTATGTCACAGAAGCAAGAGTTCGAATCCCGCTGAGGGAAGAACAAAAATTTGCTTACGCAAATTTGAAGATCTAACATTGTTGGGCTTAATTTGAGACGAATTATATATATATATCTACCCGGTATATATATATCTAATATGAAGACCAATGACACGTTTTTCTGAATCAACATTTATTAAAAGCTTATAAAGTACATGAAAAAAAAACCAAAAAGAGATAACAGTATAGCTAAGACCGTATAAAATTGATTTGCATGGGGACGTTGCAATCGTAGTATGCAATTATAGAATTTATAAACAGAAAAAAACAGGGGGTGCGGTCCAACCTTTTAAAACACCAAAACTAAAGGAAAATGATAAACCTAAAGGATATAAATAAATTAGGACTGCTGTCACGACAGCAATAATCAAGTCACACCATTAAAATAAATCTCCATACAGATCAAATTGTAACAGATGGAATGATTATAATAGATAATAAAATATTTCGTGGGTGTAGGTCTGAAATGCAACTGTCGTATTACAAGTCCATATTTTCGATCACCAATTAACTGTAGTGTAGATAAGACCAGCTGGTATCGAATTTGTGCATGATTCGATACAAAATAATACACGAAACTATTGTAATATTGAATCCGCATTGTCTGAGTAAATAAAAAATGACTATACTGATTTGGTGGCGATTTATTTCAGAGATAAGATTGAACAGTTTATATTGTCATTAATAAATTTACATATGTTTAGTCAAACCTCTAATTGCTCGATAAAAATTGTGACCAATAAAAACTCGTTAAATCCTCACGTTTTAGCATTGAAATTAAAATGCTCCGCGGGTCGCAGCTTGATACCACCGCAGAGATCGAACTCTGAACAGTTGGGGCAAGTATGTACACAGCATTCAAGCTTGATACAGCTCTGAATTTGGACTGTGATTAAATATTTGACTCAGCATAGGTTTCTGAAACAGAATAAATATGGTCTATGAACTTATTTTTTTTTTAATAAAATGGACATTTACCTATTTTTGTCCAATATCCAAAATCTAAATACATGGTTAAATTCAGCATATCAAAAAATCCCCAAAATTCAATTTTTGATGAAATAAAACCAAAAAGTTTAATTTAGGACCCTTTGGATTTCAACGTGGACCAATTTGATAACGGGGCCCAAAATCGATAATCTAAACACACGGTTAGATTCCGCATATCAAAGAACTCCATATAATCAATTTTTGTTGAATATCAAACAAAGTTTTATTTTGGACCCTTTGGACCTCAATGTGGACCAATTTAAAAAAAACCAAAATCATTCCCAACCTTCCTTTTTTTGGTATGGAACCTTGTGGTACAATTTAATAGAGATCCATAGACTTATACTCAAGTTATTGTCCGGAAACCAGAAGATCCTTGGGGTTGGTTTTTTTTTTGCCCCTAATTCTTGAACGGTTTGGGAAATAACTCCGAAATTAATCCCAACCTTTCTTTTGAGGTATGGAACCGTGTGGTACAATTTCATAGAGATCATAAACTTATACACAAGTTATTGTCCTGAAACAAGAAAAATGCTTGGGGTTTTTTTCTTGCCCCTTTTTGGCACCTTAGTCCGAAACTGTTAGGACAATAATCCCAAAATCAATCCCAATCTTCCTATGTGGTATGGAACCTTATGGTTCAATTTCAAAGAGATCCATACACTTATACTCAAGTTATTGTCTGGAAACCAAATGTCTTCGGACGACGACGACAACGTTATACCATTTATATGACCGCAAATCTAAACCCAAATATTGAATTTCAATAGTATTTTTAAACGCAGTTTTAAGCTTACCGTTTAATTTGATATACATGTTTAGAAACAACAACCAGTTTGCACTTGATCTTCAATCTGTTTTCCACCTAAAATAATTCCTAATATCAATGATAAATCATGTAGAGAGTGTTGCGTATTTAAGTAAAACGTTAAAAGCAATTGACAAGATAAAGCTAAACTAAGCCATTTTGGCTGTTACAGCAATTGCACCGATATATTCACTGGTAAACATATAGTTACATAATAAAGACTAACGCGATCAACTCTTAATAATGAGGATATAGTTCTAAATGTATAAAAGCTGTCCTTATTTTTGAATATCCTCTTAAATTAAAAGCTTCACACAGCTTAAATTTTAAATCGAACGATTTATTAAAGGTTATATTCCAACTCCTGACCAACCATTTTGCTCTTACTCATTGGTGCGGCATGTTTGACGGAAGAGCAAATAACAGTTATTATTTGGTTAGATCAAGTCGGAGATTGAACTCAATATCTCCTGCACTAAAGGCTAGCACATTACAACAGCAACACCTAGCCATTTGATTTTAATGGAAATCAGTGAGTGACTAATAAGTTAGCATGTCTGCTTTGAGAGAAGAACAAATAAGGACTATATGTCTCGGCCTCCAGATCAACATTCCTTGAAATTTTTGGTGACCTATAAGAATTTAAACAGGATACTCTGAAGAGTGATTTTGATGTATCCTCTCTATCTATTATATAGTTTTCTAGAAATATCCCGAAATGCTAAAATGAGTAAAAATGGTCATTTAATAGTAATACTTTTACAAGGAGTAAAATGACGATTTGGTCATATGACTAATTTGTAGATAATAGCTTCCTGATCATTTTTGCTATTTACAGTTTTTCTTTACGTATTAGAGTTTTCAAGAGATTTTCCAGATAATTCTAAATTTTGGTAAAAATCGTCACCTTAGGTTCAAAACAGGAGTCGATTGACAATACCCTATTGTGAACTACAAATCTTTCATAAAAGTTTCGATATTTGCAGTTTCTCCATCTATCATAGTTTGAGAGATAATAGACAAACATGGTAAACACCAACGCTTATGGACTTATTTTTTTGGGCCCTTTATAGCTTGCTATTCGGTGTGAGCCAAGGCTCCGTGTCGAAGGCCCTACTTTGACCTATAGTGGTTTACTTTTACAAATTGTTACTTGGATGGAGAGTTGTCTCATTGGCACTCATACCACATCTTCTTATATCTATTTTAACTCCAATAAGGCGTCAACTTTGGTGATGTTAACTTATTCGTAGATCTGATAATTTTTGCTGTTTACAGTACCTATAAACAAGCGTTCAAACGCTGAAACGTCTCTTCTGCTATACTAATCATGATTGATTTCATCTTGAAAGTCTTTAAAATAAAGAGTTTACCACAAGTTTACATAAACTTAACACTATTAATGATTCTTTAAAATAAAGTCAAGGTCAGATGCATCCTGTCAGACGGACATGTACACTTTTCAATCATTCCATACAACAGCTGACCTATTGGTTATACATGAAGTATATGAGAAACAGACCTAAACACAAAAACTTGCCAACCAAGGGGAGAAAACACACGACGGTGCCGGCCTGACAGCAGGGAGGCAATTCCAGGATGCAGGTCGTCAGCTGGGAAAGAAATATGACCATTAAACTATGAAAATGAGGTCATGGTCAGATCAACATTGTCAATCAGACAGGTACACCTTACAATCATTCTATACACCAAATATGGTTGACCTATTGCTAGGAGTATCTAAGAAACCGACCTAACCACAGCTGCCTAATCACAACATCATTGTGCAAAAAATTAATTTTAAAATGAGGTCAAATTCAGATGAATACTGCCACATGGGCATGCACAACTTGCAATCATTTCATACACCAAACATAGCTGACCTTTGCTTATGTTAAATGACAAACAGAATAAACCACACAAAACTTAACATTGACCAATCAACCATCAAAATGAGGTCAAGGTCAGATAAACCCTACCAAAGGGACATGTACATCTGACATTCATTCCATACACAAAACAGATTTATCCTATTTTCTGTGATATGCACTTGACCTTTAAATAATTACCTTAATTACTGATCCATGAAATAAGGTCTGGGTTAGGTGAACCTTGTCTGAGGGAAATGTTAAAGAAATATAGTTATCCCAATACACATAATAAGTGAAAAATTCATCTGATAAAAAAAACTATTCAACTTTTAAAGCAGTGACTGAACCTTGAAAACAAGGTCTTGGACAGTGCACATATGACACAGAAACTTCAGAACATAAAGTTTTTTTTTGTTTTTAACCCCTTTTTCACTGTAACCTATTTCATGGCAGCAGGTTTTTTTTTTGGTGGAGGAAGCCAAAATTCCTTGGAGAGAACCACCAACCTTTATTAGGAAAACTGGCAATCCTTGGAAACAAAATTGCCCTGAGTGGGGTTCGAACACACAACCTCAAGTGTTGACAGGTTTGTGACCACTGTAAATCAACTTTAGACCACTGTGCCACCAAGGAACCTTAGAACATAAGGGCAATAACTCCAATAAGGAAGAGTATACAAGGTCAAATTTGAGTATCCAGGTCTTCAACCACCTAAAATACCAATTTCTATACAAAAAGATAATGCCATACATGCCTGATTAACACACACACATGTTTAGAATTCTAAGATTTTCATTTCAGGTGAGATAATAAAAACAAAGAAAGGATATAAACTAAATCTTTAATATAGAACTGAAACAAAAACACAAAAAATAAAAACTTTTTTGCATAGATAAATTGATGTAAAAATATAATATCAAATAAAGAATAACAATGACAGGAATTACTGATGTACACAACAACTTGTTCATTTTTTTCCATACATGGGCGGCTCAATGGAGGCATACGCCCCCTTTGATAGCCATTTTTTTTTAAATTTCATGTTTTTAACAATTTATTTATAAATTTGAAGTATTGAATCGTCCAAAAAATTGTAATTTACAGTATTTTGGTATATATTCAATTATCGGGAATTACAAAAAATAACCTGGATCTGCCTCTGCCATAGACACTATAAAAGGGAACAAAATAGCCATAACTCATTTAGCAGTTGAAAAATAAGTACAAGGTGTTTTTAATGGATATCTTGTGCAAGTTGTGGATTTCTAAAAAACATTTATGAAAATGTTGAAGACGGAAAACTATTCAATTCCGCTACTTATCTTCACAATAAGAGAATATTTTATAAAGCATACAGGGAACAAAAAAGGCATTCATGCAATAAACCTATAATACATAAAATAAATATAATGGGAACCCACATGCACAATTAAATGTTAGTAATAATAAGAATATAAATGCTAAAGCTAAGTTTAAATTGGCAACATATGAACATGTAAGACTAAAAAAAAGGAAAATGGAATACTGCAAAATAATTATGAATATCAAATAACTTACTGTAAACTTGGAAATTATTGCATGCATATATTAATGTTATTGTTGATCAACTGATAAAAAAACAAGGGTGAAAAATGGGATTTCAGAAATTGTTGCTTACAAATAATGCAATAAGAATTTTAATGCAGTTTCTAATTAATACAATACCATGTTTTTGCATAAATTTTGTAAAAATTATAAACATTTATAAATTGACAGTATATATTATGCAAAGGGAATCTCAGACTGAGTAAGTACAAGTATATAATATACATATAAAATATCTCTGGAATGATAATAATGTTCATGTAAACAAGTTTTATTACTAAAAACCTTAGTATTATATAGTAACAATGTAAACAAAATACCAGTATTGAGCAAATAGTTAAGCATGTATGAGACAGAGTAGATACACATTGCATATATATAACATGAAACAGAAAAATGTGTACACTTTTCAGTTAGATATATTTGTGGTATAAAATCACATGATTTGTAATTTACCTCTGGAAAAAAAAAATAATCATCAATTTTTGTTTTGGTCAATATCTGTGTGGTATATACATATAAAAATAAGATGAGGTATGATTGCCAATGAGACAGCTATCCACCAAACTTCAAATAAAGCGGATGTACATTGTAAGCAATTATAGGCAACCGTAAGGCCTTCAATAATGAGAAAAACCCATACCATATAGTCGGCTATACCATGACTGTCTGAATAATTTACTCCTAAAAAAGATTTGGATTTCTAGTGAAACAAAGAATTATATACATTTTTGGATTTCTAATTGTTTAGGATAAAAAAAAACGCTCACATTTCTCTCTATAAATTCTTAAAAGAACTAAAAGGAAATACAATGTATATCAGTATATTTGGCCTTAACAAGAAATACAACCAATTTATCACAAATTGAAGCAGTACAACATTTGAAAGGCTATTTGATCAAAAGAACCTAAAATAATAGCCAAATCCATCCAAGGTCAACTTTGCATTACATAACATACCTATAGATCAAATACAGGGTGCCTAAACAATACTTGTCAATATTATATGATGAATTAACTATCAACCAATATCAGTCCTCAGGGCTTATAGGCCTCCTTTTATATTTTTATATAAAAGCAGAAGAAATCACACTCTTTTTAAGTCTATTTTTAAAGGTTATATACTTTTAAAAAAAATTACGGGTCAGTTCAGAAAGAATTTTTTTTCAATTAAAATCTCAGACTTAATATTGTTTCTTATTAGTAACACGGATACCCCTGATGATACTATAAACATTTTCCTTTAATAATACAACAATATACCAAGTACATGTACTGAAAAATTGACATTGCCATCAATAACCTTAGTCAACACAATTATAAGGACACTTCCATGAGACAGTTTATATTAAACAAATAAATCAAAATGTATAAATTAATTGTAAATAAACAAAATAAATTAAATTAAGTACTACCACTGACAGTGAGGCTTAAAATATAGTTCATAAATAAACTTATCATAAATTCCAGACTTAAAATTTTATTCTCCAGACACGTGTTTTGACTACAAAAGACTCAACAGTGGCTCGAAGTTGAAGAGCATTGATAACCCAAAATTAAAAGATAGAACATCAAAACTTATTTTCAAAGCAAAATGAAAATACCTTTCTAAAAACTGATAGTTCCTGTAATAATTACATAGAACAGTGAACATGGTGAATTTGAAATAAAACATATACAATTTATATCAATTAAACAATTCTAATTTTCATGGCTTACAGTATTTTTCTACAACAACTTAATAAGTATTGCTGATTTACTCGTGTAAATATGTGGGAGTATATTATTTACATGTTTAAATGAACTGCACTGCTACCATATGATTATATTTCATGCAATATAAAAAATCTATATAACACAAAAGATACTTTTTAATTTCAAGTTTTAAACATAATAATCAATGCCAAATAACAACTTCAGCAAAAATATGATTATATAAATGAATTGGAATGAATCATACATGTATGTAATCAAATAGATTAAAAAAATAAATGCAAATGTAATATTTTACATGTCCTGAGGACTCATCACCATGTATGAATATTGGTGACAAATCTCCAGGTGCCCGCAGGTCGTCCTCCTTGCCTACCCTACAAATTGGCATTTGCTGCTTCTCTGCTAAGCATGTGGCATTAAGGAGTAAGAGCAAAGACTGGTCGATTCGGAATCAGAATAATGTGTACGGGTAAGGTGACATGTCTTCCTGCAGGTTGTTAACATGTGGACTATTACGTTAAAAATCTGGATCAGTGTGTCGGTCTAGTACAAAGCAGGGTAAATATACATATTATATTAATATGTTCTCATCCTGAATATGCATATTAATTTGCCACTGGACATTAAGCAGCCATCCATCATCAACATCATCTCCATAGTGATCCATTATTTTAAAAAATTTACAGAAAATAAATTCCCAATTTTGTTTGCAAATCTTGTGATGTGTTGTCAATAGGGATTTGATAAATGTTTCTTCTTAATTTTGTCAATGTCTTCATGATTTTGTCAATGTCTTCATGATTTTGTCAATGTCTTCTTTAGTCCAATTTCTAAAACATTGATTATAATTTACCTGCTAAATCAAAATTACTGAATGAATATCAAAGATTAAAGAGAAATAGTTTCTTCAGCAAATATACTACTAAAAAATTCTCTCTGATGGATACTCCCACTTAGGTGGTGGGATGTAAAGTTACGACCTTGGTAAAATGAAGCAAGGTGACCCCATTTGGTACAGTACAGCTCAGGTGGATTATTATTTGTTCACCATTCCACGGTGGAGGTAGACAAAGAGTGGGCATACATCCAGTCTGTCCTCCTTGCCAAACCTACAGATTGAATATGTCATTTCATTTCTTTCATACAAACAGTTTAATATACTATTCTTTGAGAATATGAGGCGCTTTTGAAATCAATATTTTTCAAAATGTAAAATTAAAGCTTTTCTGAATTCAACATTTTTAAATGAAAGTGGAATTGGAGATGACAGGTGTGGGCTGAACATGATGGGTAGGTGGAAACAACTAAATCAACATGAGCTGTTTGTATAGCTATAGTGTATACTATTACTTACAATTACAATGTTTTAACCCTGAGTGCTTCTATTCAACAATCTCAGGTTTTAATGCTGTTATGGTATGCATATAAAGCTGTATAAAATGATGAACTTTGATTATTGGAATACTAATGTTATCTGATAATAAAAATTAATATGTTATGATATAACTATGGACATAAAAAACATCATATTTTTGGACTACAATGATTAAATTCAATTCCTTTTATCATCAAATCTTAAATACCATTAATTAATCTCATATGTTCATTCCATTGCAATCCATCCAGGATAGAAATGATCCGAATAATTGGAATGGAATTGTTTAGAAAAACCAGATCCATTGACATAGGGATATTTGTAATGAATAGTAATTCCCCTTGTCAACCAAGCTATGAACCAACCATATGTCCCTACAGTCATAACTGTGTGATTTGTCAATGACAGTAGCGCCATATCTACAGACGCTGGATTGCCAGCTGGTGTTAAGTAAATATCCTTTTCTTTTCCAATAATCTGGGAGGTCCAGTTTAAATCATTAGTGCAAACAATAAATAAAACTTTATCAAAACGATTCCTGAAAAAATCCAAGGCATTTTTCAAATAACTTGCGGGAGCTAATTTGTATCCAAATTTGGCGAAATGTTTTTTTGAATAATCACCATTTCGGACATGAACCCCAACCAATGTTATCCCATCATTGTAGGAGACATTTCTTTTGGTCATTATATTACGTATTTGCTTATCAGCCATTTCCGATATCCATGGCTTAAATGTAAACGCTTTTCTAACGTCATTTTCATATTGTATCCAGTATTTCCATGACTGAAAATAGCCTAAAAATGAAAGATCCTCAGAAGGTAATTTTTCAAAGCTGCTATCATAACCACAATCGAGAGTGTCTTCTTTTCGATGGGTGCAAAAACATGATCCACTGTGGTAACCATAATCTTTAAACGTGTTTGGCTTGATATTGAAAATCTCAGTAAGCATCATACCTTTCGGTACAATATATTGAAGATTCCTCTGCATTGACATACTAAGACCAAATGCATACATAAACATTTGGTTGGCCATCCCACCGTGAAAGTCTATGCACAAGAATTTTTGTCGGTTCATTCCTAACCAATCTCGCCATAAAATTAGTGCACATCTTGTAAAGTAAAAATATGTATACAAACAGATACTTCCTGCTAGTACTCCAAGTATAACATTTCCTATTAAAAATAAAAATAGAACATGCAATAACAAAAATAATAAATGCACCATGAACACATTGTACTGTCTTTCTCTATGTAGTGTACAGATACAATACTTTTTGTTGATTGATTGATGGAGTTTAAGGTACAGGTGCTTTGGACAAGGACCCCCTTTTTTTTTAAATAATTTGTGTTTAAGATATTTTTTAAAATTTTCCTTAAATCAAATATTATTTCCCCTTTTTTTATGGGTTCTTGCACTTATTGAATCCATCCAGGAGTTTCTTTCTTCTCCCTTATTATGATCGTTACCAACTGATACCAGGATTTATACAAAAAATCCATCACCCAGTATCAGCAAGTTGACCTTGTTTTCAGCGCATCATCAGACTGCCTGCAATTTGAGCTGGATGCAATTATCCCAATGCATTTTTTAACACAAATAAATTAAAAGGGAACATGCTGATACTATGGATAAAATCTACTTTATATATTTATATGTAAATATTCTAACATGCACACCAATACATCATATTAAAAATGCCATGCTGCATGCATATGATTACTTCAAAGGAAAAAAACACACTTGTATATGAATATTGCCCTTTCATGTTTTTTTCAATTTGAATGTTGGTTTTTGTCATTATCCAAACCATGAATTTTACTCTCAAGTTGTAATTTGAAGCAGGCTTATTTACCTTGTTCCACAGAACTGCTTCCAATGAAGACTAGTAGTATTTAATTATTTTTAATATACCTATTTAAACTATTCATGGTCTTTTTGTTTCAAACACATTTATACATAAACTCAATTTTAAAGCAGAAAATATTTTTATATTATAGTTACACACAGTTTTTTATTTGCTTCTCATCATTGCTCTACACTGTGGTTAATCAGTATTGATACATGTAACAGTATACATGTACTTCCTAACAAGGGAGATAACTTGTATCCAATTGTTTTATTTTAAAATCAGATTCAGGCTTTTTGAAGTGAACATCAAGGAAGACCAATAGCTCTAAATAGTTGATGGTAAATAAAAAAAAAATAAAAACACACACAAAATTAACTATTAATTTTAAAAATTCCACAGAATGACTGAGAGTGTTAAATGATTATTAATTATTACTTTCCTCCCTTTAAAGACCTTCTGAGCATCTTATCCAAAATTTTCAACTTAAGGGTAAAGTACACTTAAATTTTATACAAAAATTTTATACAAAACTCTAGTTTTTCCTTCAGGACCCTTTCAATTTGTATTCAGATAGTAGTGCAATACACTGAAACAAGAATATGTGTCAATAAGACACAATGCCCCACTTGCACTATCACATTGCCACAGACTCAGTGAACTGTGAAATCTGGTTCAAAATCCTAATTTGGCATATATACTTAAATGTATGTGTTTTCACTAAATTGTAAATTAAGCTATTTTTAAATAAATAAAACTTTTACTCATATGGGACAGAGGACCAATAAACCAGAAAACGTAATTCCCCCTTATTATAGACTGGGCTTAAATATTTCTTGTTTATCATACTGTTAAGTTTGCATATATAAATTTATTGAAAGAAAGTTGCATGTTTTAAATTCTTGACCATTAGAAGGGAGACCGCAAAAAAATATTCTCATGTTGAACGATCACAACTGGAAATTTAAAAGCTTCAACTTCTTATGAGCTTTGACAGCATGGACATGTACATGTAACTAGGAGGAACTGTTTTAGATTAATAAAAAACCTATAACTCTTATTCATCAATAAAAATAACTCAAGTAAATGAAAGCTAAAACCTTTGGTGCAGTGGAAAGTCTTGACAATCAAAAATAAGTTCAAAGGTGGAAATTAATGGTTTAGGAGAGAGGATCTAAAAAGTGCATAAAACAACTTATTATATGGGTCAGATCATGATCCCCACCTCTAGGACAAACCAATAGATGCCCTAGAAAAAACTTGTGAATACCGGCTAAAAAATATGGATATTTTCAGCTAATATTATTGCGAACCAAATGAAAGTTTTCCACAGAGTCATCTCCTCTTGGTCAAGGTATTTAAACTTTTGTCAGTTCTATTGTCCCATTGAATAAAACTGAACAACATCACATGCAGTTTTGAGAGTAAATGCATGTATTTATGTATTTTCATCTCCTTAGAAGATAATTTTTTTTTATTCAAGTAAATTAATCAATGAGTGATGATTTTCTCTTAGAAGAAATTTAAAGGTCCCAGTGAATAAACTACACAGAGAACAATAGCTATTGTATTTATTCAATGGGACAATTGATCAGAAAAAAGTTTAAATACCTTGACCAAGAGGAGATGACTGTGTGGAAATGTTTCATTTGATTCGCAATAAGAGACTCATTCCAAAATTAAGTAGTCTTGGATACTGAGTCTACTGCTGGCAGGTGATACTCTGTGTTCTCCTGAGGGCCTCATAGATTTTGGAGGATCAACGCTATCTCCAATCAGATGGTTGAAACTAATAGAAAGAAAACTGAAACTGTCAGACTTTCTCAAATGCATTATTGATAGCATTTGTAGCAAAGTTATTTATTCTCCTTTTGAAGTTTTCACATAAACATAACTTGCTACAGTTGCTAATATAATATTAAAAGGGTCTACATGTATCCACTTGCTATAATTTCAAAAACATACAAATTATACATCTTGTAATCTTTTTCAGTTTAGAATGCAAAAGATTTTTTTTGTACTCACATTATTGCGAACCCAATGAAAGTTTTCCACAGTGTCATCTCTATCTGGTTAAGGTATTTAAACTTTTGTAAGTTCTCTTGTCTCATTGAATAAATACAATAGCTATTGTTATCTGTGTAGTTTATTCACTGGGACCTTTAGATTTCTTCTAAGAGAAATCTATCACTCATTGGTTAATTTACCTGAGTCATGAACAAATTTTCTTATATATAGACAAAAATACTTTTTTTATACTCATTAACTGCCTGTGATGATGTATTTATTCAAAATTGATAATATATTATCAATCTTTTCAATATAAACACTGATCTAATCATAAAAATTTGATTTCTAACAAAAGTTTAAGTAATGTTCCCATTGAAATTTGCATTTTTTTGTTTTTGTTTAGTTATAGAATACATTTAAGTAGGTCTTAATTTGAACATCATAATTTTCAAGTTTTTATTTGTCAAACACACAAAAAAAAATAATTCTAAAGTTTTGTCAGAAATCAACTTTTATTAATGTTTGAATCACTGTTTACATTCAACAAATTGAAAATATCTTATTAATATTGAATAAATACAACATCACATGCAATTTTGAGTATAAAACATGTATTTTCGTCTATTTTTTTACTCAGGTAAATTAGTCAATTTTAGAATTTTTAGATTTCTCTTAGAAGAAATTTAAAGGTCCCAGAGAATAAATTACACAGAGAACAATAGCTATTGCATTTATTCAATAGGACAGGTGAACTTACAAAAGTTTAAATACCTTGACCAGATAGAGATGGCATTGTGGAAAACTTTCATTGGGTTTGCAATAATAATACTGCTTTTGATTTTCCAAAAAATACTGGCTAATTGGTCTCCAAGACTACAAATTTTAAAATTATTGATTGTAACTCAAGTAAATGAAAAGCTAAAACCTTTGGTGCAGTGGAAAGTCTTGACAATTAAAAATAAGTTCAAAGGTGGAAATTAATGGTTTCAGAGTGGGGATCTAAAAACTAAGTTACTTACTTATTTTCCACTTAATAGCACCAGCCATCGTCTTCTCATTGCTCTGCAAATAAAATAAAATCTTGGTGTAAATATTTTTTGTCTGAGTTTTTTGTTGTTGATATTTTCCTCCAATAATTTTTTATGTACATTTAGAATGACATCAATGGTACCAATTTTACTGCACTAAATGAGTATTTTTACAATTAATGTCTCTTCAGATAAGCTTGATGCCAAAATATTTGAAAATCTGAAAACTTTTGATTTTTCAACCCTGTATACCACCATTCCCCATGTGAAATTGAAAAATCGCTTGAAAGAAATAATCCACAATGCCTTTCATCATAAAAATGGTAGCATACGCTATAAATTTATTACTTTGGGATATCATAAGGCATATTTTGTTAATAGTGAACAAAAGGGTAAAACATGCTACACAGAAGAACAAGTGATCAGTATGCTGGAGTTTCTTATCGACAACATATTTGTTGAATTTGGAGGTAGACTTTTTCAACAAATTGTCGGCATTCCTATGGGAACGAACTGTGCGCCTCTCCTTGCCGACCTCTTCTTATTTTCATATGAATCGGAGTTCCTTCAGACACTTGTCAAAAACAAGAAGATCAAAGAAGCCAGATTATTTAATTTCACTTTTAGATATATTGATGATGTTCTTTCCATTAACAATCCGAACTTTTCTGATTGGGTTCCATTAATATATCCCCCAGAACTAGAAATTAAAGAAACAACAGACACGGCTTCCTCCGCCTCATTTTTAGACTTATATCTCGAATTTGACATACACAGTCATCTCAGTACCAGAATCTATGACAAACGAGACGATTTTAATTTTAAAATAATAAATTTCCCCCACCTTAGTAGCAATATACCAACTTCACCTGCATATGGGATATACATTTCCCAACTTATTCGATATTCAAGAGCTTGCAGCTCTTACTCAGACTTTGTGGGACGTCACCAGTGTCTGAGCAGAAAGTTGATGAACCAGGGGTATGTCAAAGAACGTCTCGTCCTTTTTCTAAAAAAGTTCATCGGAAGGTACCAAGACCTTGTTGATAAATATTCCGTATCAACTTCACAAACAATACATGATGGTCTTGAAGTATAGATTCTGCATACTGACGTTGTTTATCATCTTAACAACGTGTAATATTGTTCTTTCATTTGTCTTTGTTCTATTATTAATATTACTTTTACTGTTTGGTTTGTTTTCTGTGATATCCATTTGACGTGGCTAGGTACTTATACATCCCGTCAATGTGTTTGTATTATCTTTAATTTTTACTGGTGTGTTTTGTATATGCGACTTTTTGTGTTTCTGTGGTTCTTATAACGTGACTCTGTACTTTAAAAGATCCCGTCATTATGTTATTGTTCTATTATATGTCATTATGTTATTGTTCTATTATAAATTTGAAAATACTTTGAACGACAAACGACAAATTTATTTTACTCGCGTAGTGGTATTTACCATATGTGGATTCTTAAGGGTTCTGAAGAACTTCTGGACAATTATAAATCTCGGTCTATTTCTGAAATTAATCCTAACATAACTTTTGATTTTTTAACCCTGTATACCAACATTCCCCATGTGAAATTATAAAATTGTTTTGAATAGACATTGAATGACAAACTTTTTTCTTATGTGACGTTTACATTTTCTGACGTCAGACACGCGAAGCAATGAATGTGGGTCTTAATTTGATAGATGCTTTTGTGCTTTTTTTGTAAATAATTGTTTGTTTTGATATTGTAACACAGTGATGACTGCTGTACCCATATTTTGACTATTTTATTTATAATGTCTGTTTTGTTCACGCATCGTTGTAAATATAACGAAATTTGATAAGACTGTCGTACAAGTGAGAGGTTTAGCGCTATAAAACCAGGTTCAATCCACCATTTTCTACATTTGAAAATGCCTGTACCAAGTCAGGAATATGACAGTTGTTGTCCATTCGTTTGATGTGTTTTGTCATTTGATTTTGCCATGTGATTAGGGACTTTCCGATTGAATTTTCCTCGGAGTTCAGTATTTTTGTGATTTTACCTTTTATACAAACACTGAAGAGCTGATTTAACCAAAAAGTAAAGAAGTTGGCTGTATGAGATTTTTGTAATTTCAGACATGTTCCATCAACTTACATTGTAAGGTAGTTTATTGTTCTGGTTTGGAGATTAAAGGTGCAGTTTGAATAAAAAAGTTAGACTTTGTTAAAAATGGAAATTTTTTAAGAAGGAGACTGCCCAAGTTCTCTATGTGGTCCACAAAATACAGAGACCTGAAATGTAAAATTATCATCTTAGTCTAAACTTGCAGTAATATAACTCATGAGTATGTAAAGATAATTGAATATAAGCCATGTTCCAGCCAAGCCATTTTAAGAGAGTGCAGAGTGTGTCCTGTTTCACTTTAACTTTGCAACCGGCCCTTTTTATTGAGCTGTCCGTCCTTGTTCAGAACAATAAAACTTACTATTGCTAGCTAATTTGATTCCAGTTTTGCAGTTCATTTGGACACCTTAATGGCTCTAACCAACTGATCCAAAGAAGATCTTCCCTAACTCTACCAGTTAGAATACATTATATCCCCAGTTATACAAGACTCATTCCCTTTTCTTTTTTTTCATGATATGTACCATCCATCCGAGCAGCTCACAGGTTCACTAAAGTACAACCCCAAGTCTTTTACTCAGGAACCCTCTGGCCGGTTCCTTGCATGTCACCCAGACATGTCACAGTCATCTGATGACCTATTCAAAAGCCTCATGACCATATCTACAAATGTAACTGCCAGGCACTCACAGACACTCGTACAATGTATAAACCAGTAGTAGACCTTCCATAACTCAACCAGTTAGACTACTTTATATCTCCAGTTATACAACAAACTGAAAAATGTTTACTTTGAAGTACAAAACATTCGCTACCTTGATATGATAAACATTTGATGGAAAACACCTTAGGATTTCAAACCAAAAAGCAAATAACTAAAACTAAATATCTGTATGATAACAATCCTGTATGATAATGCATGTAGACATGGAAATTATGTGTGACTTGAGTGTTCATGCAGAGACTCTGAGTGATGAAAATTGTGTGTGTAAAGAGTTGGAAATATGTGTATTAAGGCCCCTTCACACTGGATGAAAACTCTACTATGCTCTCTACGACCTGAACAGTTGTAGCGGGATCATGAATAAAATAGGAAAACTGTCTTCAGTGTGAAGGCTAACACAACACTGCTTTGCTTCTACTGTGCACAAAATAGCTTTGCATGATGTTTTTATGCTTTACCACACCCTGCACCTGTGCTAACCTCATTATGTCAACTGTAAGTTCCCACTACGATCATACAACGACAAACCACGCTGCGAGCCTGATATTGTTACGATATCATACGACTGTGTCCGATGCTGGTACCCGCTAAAAGATCGCATCATGCTTTAATTACACTGTTACCACGAGTATCAAGTCTCAAAACATTATTTTCACGACTTTGTCATGAACAGCGGAAATTTACAATAAATATGGGAAATTTGGCTTCTGGGTTGGCAGGTGGATTGCATACTTGGAAACTGTTTTTGGACCCATGATGAATCCATCGAGCCCCAGAGGTCGGATTCTGTACAGAAGTGAGCCAATACTGGGCTGAAGGCTGCCATTGGAAAAAAACTCGCAGACGTACCAGGACAGCTGTAGTTTCCAGTCTGACTGAATGGACCGGCAGAAGACTGACAAGGTAGCTTGTTCTTTGTTCTGAGAGCATCACTGTCAACTAAAAATCAGGAAATAACGTTGTACATCTCACACTTACATCTCATCCAGAGGGGTTGCTCAAGGTTAGGCAGTGCTGACCTTATCCACTCTTCAATTGCATCACTCTCCATGTCACCTTCTGGTCAGATATGATAAAGGAGATGCTTCTGCATAGTCAAAAACTGCTAAGAGCGTTCTTCCAGGCTTGTAAGTCGGGTACCAGCCTCATCATCTGCGGCTGCAACTATCAACTCTCCTTTTTCCTCTCATGGCTGGTGTGAATGCAAAGATGTTCAGAAGATAAATAAAGAATTGCTGCGAAAACTGCAGTATTTATAGTTGAGTCGAAAAAGTTTAATTGTCGTAGGAGCCTCGTGAGAATGTACCATGGTCCTCTTGGTTATAGTAAGAGTGGCAATGTCCGCAGCATGGACGGAGTAATTTCATAGTTTGGATGTAGCTGTCATAATACAAGCATGAAACGATCGTAGTTCTAACGTGAGGCTAGCGTAGTCAGTCCTGCCACAAGGGCCCTACACTTCTTTACTGCGCTGAATCCGCTACCACTACACTCCTTCTACGACCTTGATACGATGTGACCATGACTATTAAACACCACGATCTAGCTACGTAAATTTTGAGCATGTTCAAAACTGTAGTAGCTTAACCAAGCTCTACCACGCACAATGCTGACACCACCACGTTGCTAATACGTCCTTTAAGTTAAAGACTTTGCAACAACTTTGTGAAGATCTTTGGATCGTAGCACTGTCTTCGCCAAGTGTGATCTTGATCTTGATAGGTATACAGTGATACATCCTAGAATATTAATACACCGCACGTGCATCAAGTAATCTACTTAAGTGGGGCCCCCCTTACAATTTCACTGAAGGTTTTAGCTGGTTCTTCTGCTGTCTGAATTTTGAAGAAAATATCCGGTGGTAGTTGGTTCCAATCTTTAATAGTATTCGGGATCAAACTGTATTTTAATATTTCTGATTTTGTTTGAAGTCTCAGGAAATGTTGGCTATGCATGTTCTTGGTTGTCCTTGATGGTTTTTTTCGTTTTTTCAGTTGGTCAGATGGAATGGTATGTTTGCTTGACCGTGTAACCTTTGCAGAAGAGGATCAGTCTGTTTTGTGTACGGCAATAATGGTTGAGGTATAATCCATCAATTAATGGTTATCCCTACCATCCCTGACCTGTTAAAAGCTTGTTTGTGAAATAATTTCTGAACATCTGATCATTGTTATTGAGAATTACATGAGAGATGTCTCTTACCTTTAAATCAGTTTTTCGTTTCTTTTGTGTACAATAACTGTTTCCAAGGAAAAACAATAATCTCAACCTGTCACCTTGATTTTAAACTCGTTAAAACAAGTTGCCCATGCCGCAAGGAAATTGTCTAAACAACTAACAGGAAACGAAGGAATCAATGGAATTTACGAATGTATTCAGGTAAAGAATTCGAAAATCCGGAAAATATGATATTTTAACATGTCAAATGAACAATGCTTTTAGTATACGCAATAACCAAGGGTGGTGGGATAACTGTACAGTTTAACGTAAGTTGTAAATATCTTTTTTAGACTATATCTTAAAATTTATGTATCCCTTTGGGAGTGCTCCTGAGAGAGGAGGAAATTACCAGTAACAGTAACAGTAATTGGGTCAGGTCGTTGGAGGCCGTAAATATTAGAATTATTGCGAACCCAATGAAAGTTTTCCACAGTGCCATCTCTATCTTGACCAGGTATTTAAACTTTTGCAAGTTCACCTGTCCTATTGAATAAATACAATAGCTATTGTTCTCTGTGTAGTTTATTCTCTGGGACCTTTAAATTTCTTCTAAGAGAAATCTATCATTCATTGATTAAATTACCTCAGTAAAAAAATGATCTTATATGTAGACAAAAATACTTTTTTTATACTCATTAACTGCATGTGATGATGTAGTTATTCAATATTAATAATATATTTTCATTCAGTTTAATATAAACATTGATTCAATCATAAAAAGTTGATTTCTGACAAAACTTTCAACATTGTTCCTTTTAAAAAAAAGATTGTTTGACATGAATAAGAACTTGAAAATAATGATGTTTCAAATTAAGATCTTCTTAAATGTATTCTATAACTAAACAAAAAAAAAATCAAATTTCAATAGGAACATTGATAAAACTTTTGTTAGAAATTAACTTTTTATGATTGAATCAATGTTTGTATTAAACTGAATGAAAATATATTATTAATATTGAATAAATACATCATCACACGCAATTAATGAGTATAAAAAAGTATTTTTGTCTATATATAAGAATTTTTTTTTTACTCAGGTAATTTAATCAATGAATACGGAAGCCGATAAGGGCCATTCAAAAAAAAAATTTTATGTCGTAATTACGACATAACATGTCGTAATAACGACATCACTATGTCGTAATTTCGACATAACATGTCGTTATAACGACATCACTATGTCGTAATTTCGACATAACATGTCGTTATAACGACATCGCTATGTCGTAATTTCGACATAACAAGTCGTAATTACGACAACACTATGTCGTTATTACGACATAGCTATGTCGTAATAACGACATCGCTATATATATAAAAGAATATGTATTATGATTGCCAAGAGACTAAATGACACAGAAATTAACAACTATAGGTCATCATAATGCCCTCAATAATGAGAAAAGCCCCCGCATAGTCAGCTATAAAAGAGGGACGAAAGATACCAGAGGGAGAGTCCCCGAAATGACAGCTGTTTAACAATTTAATTCAAACGAGTGAAAATAACGGTTTTAATAATGTACAAATAAAGACCGAAACACGAATATGTAACAGAGCAACAAATGACAACCACTAAATTACAGACTCCTGACCGCTATGTGATATAGTTTAACTTTTCACTTTTTGAAGCGATAGGAATTTCAAAATGGTCGCCAGTAAAGGCAAAGTTTGTATCGTAAACAAATTCATCTTTTTTTTTGAGAATATTGAACACTTTATGCAATCAAGCTTAATTAAAGTTATTCACTAGCACCTCAGACTTGCACATACTAGAACTTTATTTATAATCAAGTCAAATGAGACGCAGTTGAATAGGGGAGCAATTCATGCGTTTTTGAACAAACCAGCGTATCCCAAAGCCTTGATAACCTCTGTAGGCCCCAAATAAGACGAAAAAACATCAAAATTGGAGAGAAAACTGAAAATAAATGGTTTCTAACCTCAGGGATATTAACCCTTGGCATGCTGAATTGTTATCAGAAATTGTCTAAATTTCGTGTATTTGTAAAAATATGCAAATGATATGCAAATGAGCTGTACCCTGATGCTGATGCATACTGATTGCATTAAATCTAAGATAGCCAAGGGTTAATATCCCTGAGGTTAGAAACCATTTTTTTCAGTTTTCTCTCCAATTTTGATGTTTTTTTCGTCTTATTTGGGGCCTACAGAGGTTATCAAGGCCTTGGGATACGCTGGTTTGTTCAACAACGCAACTCTCAACAAGAAACCAAATGACACAGAAATTTACAATTAAAGTCACCGTACGGCCTTCAACAATGATCACAGCCCATACCGCATAGTCAGTAATAAAAGGCCCCGAAATGACAAATGTAATACAATTCAAACGAGAAAAACTAGCGGCCTATTTTATGTACAAAAATAAACGAAAAACAAATATGTAAATTAAAGACTTGGGACATACACATACATAAAGAATGTGGCCGGGTTAAACATGTTAGCGGGATCCTAACCCTCCCCTTAAGTTTGTAGGAATAGTTGCCCTGGGGAAAAGTGGTTAAAAGAACTTGGGGTACAAAGTTATAATAGGGCTTCAATGGGGAGGACGCTTGAAGAATCTCATTAAGAACCAACAATAGCAATGCAGTAATAATTTGCATCAAGCCTCAGGAGTTACTGTACATTAAGATTCAAGTGTGTACATATGAAGGTACAGAGATCCGTGGGTCTGAGCACTATGAGTCCAAAGTTTAACATAGTCTTTATTGGGAAAAGCTTAAAATTCATCTTATTCAGAACCTGCAATGGAAATGCAGGACTTCATAATTTACACAAATCTGTACATGCCAAACATAATAAGAGGCTCCAAGGAGCTTGAATTGCTCCCCTATTCAATTGGGTCTCATTTGACTTGATTATAAATAAAGTTCTAGTATGTGCAAGTCTGAGGTGCAAGTGAATAACTTTAATTAAGCTTGATTGCATATAGTGTTCATTATTCTAAAAAAAAAGAAAAGATAAATTTGTTTCCGCTACAAACTTTGCCTTTACTGACAACCATTTTGAAATGCCTATCGCATCAAAAAGTGAAAAGTTTAACTATAAGGTTGCCGTTATTATCACATAGCGGTCAGGAGTCTGTAATTCAGTGATAGTCATTTGTTGCTGTGTTACAAATTCGTTTTTCGGTCTTTGTTTGTACATTATTAAAACCGTTATTTTCACTCGTTTGAATTAAATTGTTAAACAGCTGTCATGTCGGGGACTCTCCCTCTGGTATCTTTCGTCCCTCTTTTATAGCTGACTATGCGGGGGCTTTTCTCATTATTGAGGGCATTATGATGACCTATAGTTGTTAATTTCTGTGTCATTTAGTCTCTTGGCAATCATAATACATATTCTTTTATACATATAGCGATGTCGTTATTACGACATAGCTATGTCGTAATAACGACATAGTGTTGTCGTAATTACGACTTGTTATGTCGAAATTACGACATAGCGATGTCGTTATAACGACATGTTATGTCGAAATTACGACATAGCGATGTCGTTATAACGACATGTTATGTCGAAATTACGACATATCGATGTCGTAATAACGACATGTTATGTCGAAATTACGACATAGTGATGTCGTTATTACGACATGTTATGTCGTTATTACGACATGTTATGTCGTAATTACGACATAAAAATTTTTTTTTGAATGGCCCTTATCGGCTTCCGTAAATGAATGATAGATTTCTCTTAGAAGAAATTTAAAGGTCCCAGAGAATAAACTACACAGAGAACAATAGCTATTGTATTTATTCAATAGGACAGGTGAACTTGCAAAAGTTTAAATACCTGGTCAAGATAGAGATGGCACTGTGGAAAACTTTCATTGGGTTCGCAATAAAAAGAACAAAAAAGAGTAAAAGAGTAGACTGGAAAGTGAGGGAAACGAAGGGGTGCTTCTGAAAGCTTCTCAGCTGAAAGGGACCAGAAAAAATATATAGTCTACTAGTCTAGTCCAGTCTAGTAGTTCGTCGGTGTCCTCAATTTTCATTTTTATAATTTTCAATCATGAACTTTTTGGCATAAAAAGTGGGAGGGGCAAAAGCCTACGCCCCTGAGAGCTGGGACTATTATAGTCCATATGTTTTGTCCCAGCTGAGAGTTATATGGGGTGCCAAAATATTACAATATAAGAATAGAGAATAATGGGCAAAAATTAGAACATAGAGAAAATTGGCCTTATCAAAATAATCAAATCATGGATTTGTATATGTAAATCCTTGATTAAAGGATACAGAAATGAAAACACTCCTTCACCTCTAAATCCTGAGTCTATGGAAAGATTTCATGTAATCGGTCACTATTTCTCTTGTTTAAATCTTGTAAAACTCTTCTAAAAATCAGATATCAACTTTCAAGGACTTAAATGCCAGTATAATAGTCCCAGTATCAACACATTTCAGTTTAGAACGGTTTCCACAAACGATCGACTCAACGTTAGAATACAGTCGGTCGTGACCTCTGTGATCTTAAACATATCTTTTATGCGGTTTAGCCAAGCAGCATACTAAAAAAATCATTAAATGTTCAAAAATAGATCAAAATAAACAAATTTCTGACAATTTTTACATAATGATGTGTCAACTATTATGTCGTAAGAATACAATGATCCTATATTTTTATTTTTTTTTTATTTATTCCCGATTGTTCCTCTTTATAAATTAAATTAGAGTTCTGATTGTCCCACATTATTTTCAATGGTGATGTAAAATGTTCTTAAATAAACAAGACAATTATTGTTTGTTTTGTTAAATAATTAATAATTAATTATGCATGTTCAAACTATTATTTGATAACAATTTTATAAATGTACAAAATGTGAATTTCTTTTAAATCATCAGCTTAGGGAGCTACCATTTGATTTTTATGGGGGGGGGGGCTAGGATGAAATTTGAAAAAAATAGGCAGGACAGGAGTTTTGAGTAAAAAAAAAAAGGCAGGATGAGACACTTGCAAAAAAAAAAGTCAGGATGACAATTTAGGTAAAAAAAAGTCAGGATAAACTAAACAAAAAGGCAGGACCGAATAAAGTGAAAAATAAAAAGGCAGGACAGAGATTACAACTAAAAAAAAAAGCAGGACAAAATTTTTCATCCTAGCTCCCCATAAAAATCAAATGGTAGCTCCTTTAATGCACTTTTGATTAAATAATATAACATATCTGAGTTATACAATATATCTATAATATTACGTTTATTCATAAAACAAAAATTAACAACATACTGGGTTTAAAGCAAAAGACAGATATGAACCATTACCAAACCGAAGGACCAAGGACGACGAACCACCTAGAAGATTGTATTGCAGCACGAGGAAGATGAAATACCACACCCAAAACACAGAGGCGGATCCATCCATTTTAAAAAGGGGGGGTTCTCAACCCAGGAGAAAGGGGGTTCCAACCACATGTCCCCATTCAAATGCATTCATCGTCCAACCCCCGGAATCCCCCCCTGGATCCGCCACTGAAACATATACACTCTACTCAACTAACTTAGGGAAGAGCAGGCATCAAACGAAGTGATCATCTTCAGTACCAAGCCGGGGGAGTACGACCAACAAAGAGAAGAAAATATAAACAACTCAATCAACGCATACAGGAACCCAAAGATCATCTTCAGAATGACGAAGTTAGTGTGTTTCAGTATGCCAAGTTGATAACATTGCCTCTTATTTGTTACACTTGGACTAAATTTGTTGCAAGACTATGTTATGCATTATGTGTGCTTTATTGTTGTACTTATGTATTATGTGTGCTATATTGTTGTACCTTTTGCATCGTGTGTGCCTATAATGTGTGCTTTATTGTATTAAGGTGTTTATTACGTGTGCTTTATTGTATTAAGGTGTTTATTATGTGTGCTTTATTGTAACTCTTTATTATACATTTATGTAGAATTGGGTGGTGCTTAATATATGATATTTTATGACTTAATATTATATTTTATGTTTGATGATACCTCAAAAAATTAAAAATAATTCAACATTCAATACTATAATTCTTCACTAAAGAATTTCGGTATTGAATGTTGATTTTTAAAACAAATACATGACTTATATACTCAACATTTCCCGATCATTTTAGACTGAGACCAATATATAAATTATTTACAACTTTAAATATTAATATTATTTCATTTGAAAGCTAAGATATCCCCTTTGAACATTTAGGGAAAATGAGGTAAAGGAGGGGGCATACAACAACAGAAATAAAACGTAAACTTATCATAAGACTATAAGTAGTCGGCAACATTAAAAATATTATTCATCATATTAGCATGTAAGTTTCTTTGTACATGTAACCATTACATGCAGGGTATGATAATAGACGATTATGTACATGTCAATTTTACGTCATGATAATGCACATTATGGTTTGATGAGTGTCAAAAAGGGTGTAAATCGATTTGTTTCTTCTATTTCTCATAAGTATACAGTTTTTTAAAGTAGAAAGTAATGTACAGTTTTGAACGGAAAGCTTTTATCATTTTTCTTTTATATTATGGTAAGTTTTCTTAATGATTCTAATTATTGTATAATTTAGATGGCTATTCTTTATTATTTATTTATTCATACATGTATTACTTTTGTTTATGTTACAAATTCGAATCCAGTAGGATCCAGAATCCTCCTAGTACAAATCGGGACTCCAATATCTACTAGTAGAAAATGGAATTCAGATATATATTATTTGAAATCCAGTACGAATTAGAATTACTCATATGAGATACAAAGCTCACAAGATAAAAATTATCACATTATAAGAACCGTTCATAAAATCGGTGTACCTCTTCGGATTTCTGTAAGGAAATCATTCCTAAATCAATGTGTTCCTTTACTCTAAATAAGGGCACACGAAACAGTTTTGATCCCACGGTGATTTATTTTACGAAAATTTGCATACAAGCTATTTATATTCATATTTATTTAGAATTTAAAAAATCTTCTATAATGATATTTACTTCTTCTCTTTTAGTTGATCTGAGCGTAGGATGTGATTTATACAAATGCGGGACACAACGAAGAACAGCAGAAAATTCATTTAATAAAGATAAATATATCTTTTGCAGGTAAATGTCACTATTCGAGCTGATATAATGAATATTCAACCTTGCGATTACCAAACAGTGAAGAATAACACTATTTTTTGCAGTGTCGATCAATGCTTTTTATTTTTTTTGACGTTTATGGAGCTACCATTTGATTTTTATGGGGGGGGGGGGCTAGGATGAACAATTTTGTCCTGCATTTTTTTTGTTGTAATCGCTGTCCTGCCTTTTTATTTTTCACTCTATTCGGTCCTGCCTTTTTTTATTAGTTTATCCTGACTTTTTTTACATAAATTGTCAACCCCCCTCCCCTCCCATTAAAAAATCAAATGGTAGCTCCCTTATATTTGATTGTTTTCGAGTCACGAAATGCAGCAGTTTTATCAAAAGATATATCAATTTATAAATAAATGAATAAACTCCAGCAAAATAAAGAAACACGGAAAAGATAACTGCAGCAAAATAAATAAACATGGAAAAGATAACTGCTGCCAAATTAATAAACATGGAAAAGATAACTGCTGCCAAATTAATAAACATGGAAAAGATAACTGCAGCAAAATAAATAAACATGGAAAAGATAACTGCTTCCAAATTAATAAACATGGGAAAGATAATTGCAGCAAAATAAATAAACACGTAAAAGATAACTGCTTCCAAATTAATAAACATGGGAAAGATAACTGCAGCAAAATAAATAAACATGGAAAAGATAACTGCAGCAAATCGAAGAAACACGGAAAAGATAACTGCTGCTAAATAAATAAACATGGTTGTCGTTTGTTGCTGTTTATTATATTTGTTTTTCGTTTATTGTTTTTCACATAAATGAGGCCGTTGGTTTTTCGTTTGAAATGTATTACATTTGTCATTCGGGGGCCTTTTACAGCTTGCTATGCAGTATTTGGTTTGCTCATTGTTGAAGGTCGTACGGTAAACCATAGTTACTAACCTTCTACACCATTTGGTCTCTGGTGGAGAGTTGTCTTATTTGGCAATCATATCACATCTTCTTGCTTTTATATGGAAATGATAACTGCAGCAAAATAATTGGACATGCATTGTATTTCGCAAAAAGCAAATAATGTGTAGATTATATTTTATTGATTTTATACAGGTCTTTACAAAGTTATTTGGTGTGTTTGAGAAAATTGTCAGCTACATGTATCCATGACAACCACGTTCAGCAAGTTCTTTCCAGATACAGTTTAACGTGTCATAAAAACCCATGGGAGAAAACAATTGGTAAAGTATCATTTTAGACCAAAACCTTGCAATTTTATCAACATTTATTGGAACTATTGTATGTTTTGATGACATAGCAGAATTGAATTCAGTCCTCTGTGTGACATCTGCTGACCAATGACTTTGGCACTAGAATTAGAAAAATCCATCTGACCGTTGTTTCCTCAAGCAATAATATATATTATCCATATCTTTCCTTGCTATATTTTCTGTATATTGTTTAAGGTTACCCATACATCCTTTCAACGCCAATTCCTCTTTTGACTGACTTCACAAGTCTTTTATAGAGAAGGGATATATTTAAGCAATATAAAAGTAGTGTAAGATTGCTCTGACGTCTGAGGCCTTTGTATGATACACGGCCTGGATATCATAAAAAAATTCCGTCAGACGTCAGAGCAATCTCGGACTATAAAATAAAAGTAAAATTTGTCTTATTGCAGCTGGATAAAAAGTTTATTGTTAAACCTAAGCATTTGAAATATACGGTTCTTTCATATATGCACGTTTTTTTTAATAAATGTCTTCAGATTGCTGAGTTTCTAATTTATTATGACCATCTTTAACTCTTTATCTATGTTCCAAATATTTCATACATAAACTATATACATTTAAAGGAACTGACACCAGATGAATAAACTTTAATGTTGTATTTTTTTTTCAACAAAGTATGATTATTCAGTGTTGCATTACAATTTCCATGTGGAAGGATCGAAGCTCACAAACTACGCAATCAAACCGATAAACTTCTGAAAAGTTTGAAGAACAGAAAACTCGCATTGATTTTTTATCATACAAGCTTGGATCTTCTTTTTTACATTACAGATATGCAAGTCTCTTATTTTGAAAATAATAAGATTAAAAAAGCACAAAGAACAGACGATCTGTATGATGATGTTGGAGAGAAAATGGCCGCCAGAAGAACCAAGCACACAAAGAAAGACGATCAGTTCGATGATTTTGGAGAGAAAATGAAGGCCAGAGGAATCAAACACACCAACAAAGACGATCAATTCGATGACACGAATAAAAAATCAAGAAAAAGTAAAAATAGTAAACGTAATAAACCTGACGATTTTTACGATGATTTTGGTGAGAAAATGAAAAAAGGAAAAGAACGAAAAACAGATGATAAATTTGATGATTTTAAAGAAAACAGACGGAACAAAATACGCCAAAAGGCATTCAAAGATGGAAAGAAAGATGATTTATATGACGATTTAGACGAAAAAAATCGAAACGGAAAATTTAATCAACGCGAAAGGGATGATATAGGAGATGATGTCTTCGATGACAAAAGTGACAGTCGAACTGGCAACAGAAAGCAGATGTACAACCCTAGATTTAATATTGCAAAAGGAGACCGACAAAATCGGCAATATTCCTCTAGATTTGGAATCACAAGAAACGATTATTTTGATAGAGAAGATGATGATGAAGACGAAAATTTTACATCGGAAAGTGACGATATTGACTATGATGATAGTTATGTTAACAACAATGTCAGGGGCCGTTTTGAATCGGCAGAGGTCAATGATTATGGTTCATATACGACAAGTGACATTGCAGACGACAATATCGACAGCTCTTCTGAAGAGAACGACGACAAAATCGTGCACATACATTCAAGTAACAAAAGCATAAACGCAGTCCACTATAAACCTGCAATCCAAATAAGAAACTTTGGAGACGATATCGACGATTACTTTGACGATATATACGATTTCGACAATGAATTACCTGAAATGGAAGATATCATTAAAAGCCGTTACCTTCATGGAAATTATCCGAATATGATGTCAAATGGTGGAAATTATCCGAATATGATGTCAAATGGTGGAAATTATCCGAATAGAATGTCAAACAGTCACAGTTATCTGAATAGAATGTCAAATGGTGGAAATTATCTGAATAGAATGTCAAACGGTCAAAGTTATCTGAATAGAATGTCAAATGGTGGAAATTATCCGAATAGAATGTATAATGGACCCGTCAACCCTTTATTCTATGATAACGACGATTTTTACGATGACGATTTGATGGAATTTGACGATTTTGAGGATGGGTTTTACGGGAACGGTTTTGAAAATGATGCTTTTGATGATATACATGAACATTTTCTTAAATACAAACAATTTGGAAAACAGAGACCCTTAACTAGAACCGATTCTGATAGCTCTGATGAAGAGCTTGGTATTGTAAATAATAGAATTCAAACAAAAAAGGATGTTTTCGACGAATATGATTCAAATGAGAATAGGATGATCTTTGGACATAAAGGACTCAAATCAAAACTTTCGGATATCGATGATTATTTTAACGATATAAAAGATGATATCTATGACGATGATTTTCACGAGGAAGGAACAATACCTCATCATTACTCTTCATCTGAAAGTGATAGTGATTCAAATGAAAAAATAATTCCTAATTTTAACTTTTTAACAAAATTTTCTAACAAAAGATACACAAGAATAAAACCAAGCAAAAATTCAACACATTTCGACAACAAAAGGCAAAGTCAATATAATAATTTCCCTAAAGGATTAAAATTTCCATCAAACGATGTTCCACTATCGAAGAAATTAGGTATTAATCTGGATAGTCAACCAAAACGCAGAGCTTTACAAATGAGTGAGGGCTTTACCCCTGATGTTAAGAAAGAACGACTGCCCAAAAAAGGTAATACAACAATAATTTACATTGTAAAAATAAATAAAATTTAATGAGGTCATAAAAACAATTTAATATAAACCGTATGTCCTTACAAACAAATGTTTTCTCAATATTTCGGTTTTAAAAACAAAATACAAACTACTTGCGATTAAAACGTAAAAATGATTATATTTTGTTAGATCCCGAGACGACCATTTGATATTCTGAAGGGTGCAGGAGAATTTTTCGCGAATTAAGTATTAATTTTCATCTGTTGATATGCATCCTTAATTTTTATTTTCACTTTTGTACACAACTGTGTTGTGCACTCTGTGTTGCTGAATATACATTTTCATCTTGTTTTATGCAAGGTCATTTATTTTCAGCCCTAACCAGGTCCAGATATTCATTTTCAAAATCCTCCTCACTCCGAAATCAATTGATCGTCCCCGTAAAATCCAGCGGACATCACTATACAGACATGTCCAATTCTAAACAATGAAAATGTATATAAGCCGCTTCTGGATAAAAGTTCTAATCTGGAATAATTTAATATACTTTGGATTCATTATTATTCATTAGATATCAGTTATTTGTGGATTTCGTCGGTAAAGGTAAACCACACATGCACAAATCTAAATGTTCAACGAAGTACAAATTTTCTATATGTGTGTGTGCATACTTTGGAAAAACCACGAAATTGGTATCCACGAAAATGAATAAATCGACGGTATCATCTTCTGTGGTTTTTGTATAGTTGCATTGCTGTCTTTTTGACGAATACGTGACATATATCCTTTATTCATAATGATTTTTTTCAGAACCATTTCCCAAGCTAGCAAATCACATAAGTGGCGAACCTTCATTCTTTACTCATGGAAATTTTCGTACAGAAAGATTAAAGACGGGTATGTATTATTCCATGTTGTATGTTCATTTTTTTTATTTATGGTAAGATACTACAAAGAAATCCAAATGCCCTCTGCATCTCTTGTGGGTATCACAATAAGCATATTCATTTAATGGGGCATTAGCTACGAGATATACGAGATATAAAAAAAAATAAAATATGATTTTTGTTTGTTCAATCATTTATGAAAGTGAAATAGTGAAATAATAATTCGCTTTTAACAGCCAGTTTGGTTCAGTTTTGTTAAAATAAGCAAATAAACATCGCTAATAAATTATTCACTTGAAAGTAAATAATTCGACCTCATTGAATTCGTATTCATGTGAACTTTAATTGATCCCTATAGCTAGAGATGGATTACGAATGAACTAGGCTTGTTCAATTATTAAATTATTAAATGGAAAAGAATGTAAACATTGGAAGTGAAACTAGGGTAAACCATTTGGTGTGACTGATTCGATCTAGAAAAACTCATTCTGATACTGGTAAAAACGATAATTAACATATTTCTTTAACCTATAATGTGATATCAAACTGACCTAGAAAAATCCAATTGCACGAGTTCGCAATCTATTTATATCTATGTTTATGTTTATATCGCCACGGGTTATATGACCGTCGGCAGCCTTTGGAGGTCACCTCGATGGTTAATTAGATGGCGTCTGGACTAAAATACACACGAAATGCTGATACATAAATTCGACTCTATTCATCTTAAATTGTCTATTTTAGACTTTTTATAATTTGGATATGCGTTTTAGTATGTTATAAGTCGAATGTAAGAGTTTGGGTCAAATCGGTGAACATGAATTAATTTGACAGATAATGTCCCTTTAAAGTTTCTGAAAAGAAAATTTTCTTTTTCTTAAAATGTAATTTATAAAAGGTGGGACACGGTAGAAGATATGGGAATATAGTACTAACAATATATTATGTCACAGAAAAGATCAAAGTTCACAATGTGCTCTAAAAGTAGGAAAATGGAATATATGTAACATAATCAACATTTCTTTAAAATACTAAAAAAACAAACTTATGTGCTATAAGGTGCGAGCGTTTGTGACTTCTAGACATTTTTAAAACATGATATAAACTAATAAAGTTACTGCACAAATTTATTCATCGTCTCTAGTATTAAGCAATATATTATAGATGTAATTTCAGCAGATTAGAAAAAAAAAACAAAGATGCTTATGATAATGTTTATCGACGTTAAATCATTATGTATGGTTTTATTTTCAGGTCTTGATAGTGGCAGCTTCATACTGACACCATACAACTTTGTTTTACTCATATCGGTACTTTTAGTTATTTTATAACTTCATTAAAGTGGTAGAATCCACGTTAAATGTTTTTGCTTCATGTTTATTCTTATTAACGATTCGAATTTGGTATGCGGAGCAGTATATGCTACACAGGCAAATTTAGTTCACGTGAATTTCATGTGAAATGAGATTCACGTGAGCAAAATTTGGCTGTGTAAACTTTGAGGGGCACTTTTATATCATTTTCAGTTTTACGGGGTTCAGTGGCGGATGTTTGAAAAACGAGAGAGTTCACCGAAAAGGTTTACCTAAATGAGGGTCCGGCATTCACAAAGAAGAAAAATAAATGACTAAAACCCAACAGTTAAGCTTTTTTTATGTTATTTTAAATAGACCTGGTCAGTGTAGTTGAATTATTGAATTTTCGATAAAAGGGAAGCCCAATACATAGTGTTTTAGTATTTGTTGTAAGCAACGGGTTTGAAAGATAAAAATTATAAACCAAACCATGTTATTATTCGTGGACTCTGTTTTGATATGCCAACGAGAGCACATGAAATTAGCTTGGATATGCCACTTAGCACATTGGCTCGTTTGGAATTTCCAACGTTGTCTATCATAATTCTTTTTAGAATATCATTAATATTTTATATTATGTTATGCATTCATGTATTATGTTATGTTTTGTAATATTAATGGTGAGACATAAATAAACTATTTGTATTGTATTGTACTGTCTTGGTTTAAATTTTATTATTTTTAATGCTGTTGCATTTACAAATATTTGAACTCTATTAAAGAATTGAACTTAAAATAATGTTTTAAATACAATGTATTTGTTGCGATTGTATTGAAAATAGGAAATATTTGCTAATTTTTATCACAACAATGTTCTGTTAATTCCACAGTAGCATGGTAAGTTTATGAATAATCTTTTTTAATTTAAGACTTCACGAAACAAATACTGAATCAGCCTCTAAACTGGATGTGTACCGATTTGAAAAGGTAATTCGGATATTCAGAATAAAATGTGAATAATATAGACATTTGCGGAAACTGTCATACACCTACGATTAGGATTACATTACACTTACAGGTAGCATTTAAATCTTGGGTCGTTTCAAAGCCGTAAATATAAACCGTCGGTTCAAAATAAAGAATTAACTCCTATGATGTTTTTCTATAGTTGAACAACGGGATTTCAAAGTAATATCGATAAAAAGTGGCATCTTGGCAGCTTGAGGTGGAATCGGGACAACTCGGACCCAAAGGCAAATCGGACTAAGAAAACTCGGGCCAATTTAAAGACAACTCGGACTACTTTTATAGACAACTCGGACCAGTTTGAAAGACAACTCGGACCAGTTTGAAACACTTGTCAGACCAGCGGCTCTTCGTGGTTTTTACGTTTAATATGATTTTTGTTTGTTTTTATCTAGATTTTTTTCTTCTCAGGTTCCCCCAACTGACCATCTTAGCTTGCTGTGACAACTTGTCAGTTCGATGCATTTCATTAAGTTCTGTTACTACAAATTGTTTTATGACGGCATAACCACATCAATTAGAAAAATAAAACAACAAATATCTTTCAATGCAATGAAAATATAAAGCAGAGATATGTTCGTCTTTACATATACCGGCCCGTGTTGTAATAAGTGATCATAGAAATCTTTCAAGATGGTTGAAATGCCTTTTACCGTCGGGCACCAAATGTTAATTTTCGACTATCGTTAGCGACAGCTTGATTCAATTTATATTGTGGTTTGTCAAATTATCTTTACTTATCAGAGGTCTAAATCATTTAAACTTTACTGTTATAATTGGAAAACGTATACCATGATTCGTCAAAATCAGCTGATTTTCTTTTACGTCATGTAGAAATAAACTCTATGTTTCTTTGTTGAGTTTTTGTTGAGTTTTTTTTTTTTTATATTTTAGTCGTTTTTTTTTTTTAACCATGGTGGAGTCTTTTTTCTTCTACTTATGGGTTCTAAATGCCCCTTTGCATCGTTGCCTCGTTTAAAAAAAATAAGAGTAACTTAAGTTGCATTAAACATATACATGCAATTACATTTTAAATTAAATCAAGAATTTCAAAGTATAGACCCTCAAGAACTTCGTTTAGATATTCGTAAAGCACTCAGGTTGTCTTATAAAGTACACGGATGTCTGTGAACCCTATTTTATATTTAATGCAAGTCAAACATTTTTTTTAAACGATGATTTTTTTTTTTTTATTTCTTTAGAAATAAAGGAGTTGTATGTTATCAATTAAAACTATATCACATCGTTCTTGACTTAAATGCTCTTTGCTTGTAAAGATATTTGAATGCACACGGATATTAATTGGATCCGAATCGTAATCAAACACATGACACATCATTTATAACGAGATATTTTTATATTTCAATAGGAATAAATTATAAGCTGACATTTAAAAAAAAATCGTCAATGCGATATTTACTACATGTATCATTAACGTCAAACCACAGCAGAAAAACAGTTAAAACACTGTTTACATTATTTGGCAAGATTTAAACGTTTTAGGCTACAAAAGTGTAATCGTATAAAAGATGTACGACTCCCAATCGTACCCGTCTTATCATATGATTTCTGAAATAGTTGACCTTAGTGTTTCGACTACCAAAGATGAAACACATACATGTATACATATTTCAAGAAACATAATTATAACCGTCTTATCTATTGGCCTTCTTTAGATGATTGGCAGAACTTACAAGGTGAGTGGCCAAAACTTCCGATTGCAGTAGGGCTATCGTCGGAAAGTTTGTGGCCGATAACGGAACTACAAGGATAGTATTTCCCCCAGGACACAGACATTGTGACTGCATTCACACTCTAGCTGTAATATTGAACGAAGACAGGAAATGTTATGTTGAATGCGGATTTCTTTGGCATCAGCAATATATATATATGTTGATAAGAAATATAGGACATTAGACATTAGACATTATTTATTTATCAATCATGGGCCCTTGTCAGGTAAGATACATGAACATTATAATACAATGATTATTATAAATCATGCAAGTTTTTTTTGTGAAATACACAATACATAATACACAAAGAAATAAAGTGAAAATATGAGCAATGTAGGATATTATTACAGTATGAATCATTAAGTGTAATGAGGTCGGTTTTATAAAAAAAAAATTTAAAACAAAATAGATATAAAATTTATTAACAGGAATTAATAGAACCAGAAATATAGTTTCTCATTTTGTAGTAGTTCTCCTCATGACCAGTGCACAGCAGCGAGGAACTTTACATCACGACAATGCAGAGGTCATCAAGGGGAGATCATTCAGAACTAGCTACAGATATTATGAGATTATCCCCAATAGTGGTTCTCCTCATGACTAATGCACAGCAGCAAGGGATTGACATTCCTACTGTGCAAGATTCATCAAGGGAAGATGCTCTAGAACTCACTAAAGGGAAAATATAAAGTTCAAATTACAAGTAGAAGAGGGAGATAAATCCAGAGGGAGATAAATCCCATTAAAACTTTTCATATTTCTTAATGAACATGCATAATTCTGATAACAATTTCTTATCTTCATTATTCATTAACCATATCCGTTTTTTGGTAGGGTCTAGATTTTTAAAATTCTTGCAGCAATTATTTATCATTGTTATCATATCTTTTCGTTAGTCAGATAGACTATCACAGTTAAAAAGAAAATGTGTTTCGTCATCGACCTCATTACTACAACATCTTTTATATACTCTATTGTGTCGAGAGTATTACTATATCTACCTCTCTCGATAAGTAAATGGTGAGCAGATATGCGAAATCTAGTTAGACTCCGTCTTTCTTCAAATTTTTTAACCATATCAAGATATTTTTCGCAACCAAAATTGGATTTAAAAGTAACATATTTACATAGTTTCACTTCTGGGTGAGTTTTGAGATTTTTTCCCCAATCTTTCAACATGGCAATTTTTAGTTATCTGTTGTCAATTGGTTTAACCCTGTCCGATGATATTTGACAATTATTGATCAGTGAAAAAAGTTTCTAAGACGACATATACCCCGACGGTTTCTTTGACTCATACAATTTCTTTGATTCTAAAAATGCATTATAACAATGGAAAGTTAGCGTCTGATTTTTCTAATCTGTTACACAGTATAGAATTACCTTTCCCGACTGAGCTGTTTTTGATAGGCGACAAAATATATCCGAACAGATATCAAGTATTGACACCTTACATGAGACAAACCCCAGAATATGCAGAGGAAGTGTAGAAAATTAAATAGACATATAACACACTATAGAGTAGAGGTTGAACACGCATTCGGAGAATTAAAAAAAAACACAAAGCTATGAGGACTTTGTGGCGATTCACATCTGTTGTGACATAAGTTTCTGCATTTGTGTGTCGTCGAAAAGACTTATTTACATGATAAAAAAATATCATTTCATTTTATTATGTATCTCATTTGGGTTTATTTTCTCTGTAATCGTAAGTCTAAACTTGTAATCCTAGGTATAGACCTAGTTTCCGCAAATGTCTAGTGGGGTTACCTTTCTTACAACAAGTGGATTAAATAATGCGCTAGTGGTTCGGATAGGACAAAGCTTAAAAATTGTTTAAATATTACAAATTTACCTTTTTAATGGAAATATCCCCCTGTAAAAAGTACCTCAAGACCTTTATTCTGATTTTGCTCAAAATCGGACACAATATAAGCTAATTTAATCACCGTACAATACGATCGGTATCGCTTGCCAATGGGATCAAAACCTCAGTATTCCTTCTTAACAACATAAGACGAGAGGTTGGGCAAGGGTTAGGGTACATTGTAATGAGGGGTCGGGAACCGGGGAAGGAAGAGAGTAAAAATAGTGATATGCTGAAAGAAAAGTAAGTCCGGTTTTCATCTGGGTAAAAAGGGTTAGGGAAGTGAGAATGGGGTAAGGAAGTGGGAATCGGGGATCCCCTGTCCACCCCTCTAAAATTACTCATTCGTTGGAATTTTGTATTACCCAAAGCTTTAGTTAAAGTGTTCAGTGCTTGTATGCGTCTATTCGTGTTGGCCTGCACTCTTGTCTTGTCTTTCTTACAACAACAAAAAATCCATGTATTGTCTTCCTGAATCCGAATATGTTTCTTCATCACAGTTTGTCTTGTGTCGTTGACCGATGACATGTATAGATTTGTTGATGTCTTATGGTGAGATAAGAAACATTGACCATAACGCTATTGTGTAATGCCTAATCACCAGATTTGACTGAGAGATATCACTAGTAGAACTGGAACTGCATGCTGCCATTCCGGACCTCCTAAGTTCACCCCACGCTCGTAGTAGTTTAGTAGGGTGTGTTTTTGCCCAATCGTTAGTTTTCTATGACGTGTTTTCTGTTTAAAACTTTTATTTACCCGAGACGAGTCAGAGCTCAATCTGATTAAAATTCAGATCCATCGGAACTCACGTGCTCAGAGATCTATTTGATATTTTAATTCGATTGTTCAGAGCTGTACATGATGTATAGACACCTGTCGTCTATTGTTGAGGACTGTATGTTGTCGTCATTATATCATTTGATAATATTTGTCATTGGGTTGCTGTGTGATTGAAGTATATCACATATGTGTTTATCATTATAATTGTATGTGAATATGTTTCTGACCCGAATGTCATACTTAACCTAACCTATATTTTCCCTGGAACTATATTTTTCAACTGGGCCCTTGATGAAAT